CCAGGCCAGGAGGGGGCCTCTGCCAAGGTGAAGGGGTCCAGGTGGCACCCCACAGCCCCTTGAGCATTCCTCAGACTGTCTTCTATCCAGGTGCCCACTTCTAATGTTGTGTCCAGCGGAGCCTGACAAAACTATTGCCCTTCAGAGTCACCTGACCACCACACCTGGAATTACAGCCCTAGGTGGTTGGAAAGTTCACCACCAAGCCAGTCCACACTGCCTTTGTGAAATTCCACTCTCTCAGCGCCTGCTCTAAGGTGTGGAGAAAAGCACTTTATCACCTACCTCTCTTGGCCAATCTGTCCCGTAGGGCGCAACAGAAGTGCAGGATCAGCAAGCTCAGACCTAGAGAGAGTGAGGACCTCCTTACTTTGGTGCCCTGGGTGCCTGCCTCTCATGCCTCACCCTGCTCCCTGTTCAGCCTCCACTCCCAGTATACACCAACCTGGCTACCCCTCAGATCAGAAGTCCCCCTCCTACCCTAATCATGACCCCCTTCTCTCAGCATCCCTGGTACAGTATAGGGAGCAGCTAAGCAGCTGAGGATGGAGGCTGAGTGGCCTGAAGCTTGGAACCAGTGGGAAGGCCTAGGCAGGATTTGGGAGGAAAAACTGACAAAACTTCATACAGATGGACTTCAGGGAGTGGGGGCAAGGAAGGATCTGGGTTGGGGCAACAGGGTGGGCATGACACATTTAACATGACAGGGGGAGACTGTTTGGGGGGAAAGGGCTGTAAACTGTAAACTTTGGAGAAGACCAGAGAAAGATATCTCTCACATACTGGAGAAGGAAGGAGGGAGGGAGGCAGGGAGGAGAAGAGAGACTGAGCATCATCAGCATTCAAGGATAGTGTGGGTGGGGCCCAGCAACGAGCTAGGATAACAGCGCCTCAGAAGCCTGGAAGACAGTGTAGGAGCAGGAGGAAGGCCAGAAGGCCAGCCCTGCGGAACAAGATGGGGGCTTTCAAGAATGTGGGTGCAATTCTGGTGTTAAAAACGGGCCAGGTAGAATTGGGATTGGAGAGCGCGCCCCGGATTTCACTGATGTCTATGAGAGAATGGTTTCAGAAAAGCAGTGCAAGGCAAAGCCAGGAGTGGAGGGGTCTGGAGGGAGAGATAGGAGGTTCCCTACTAAAAGAAGGCCAAAGAAGGCAGTCATTTAAGTGATTTGGGGTCCAAGGGCTTTTTTCTAATTTTAAAATTAAACATGGCAGAAACTTGAGTGTGTTGATATGCTGAAGGAAGTGAGACGAGATATAGGCAAGGGGGCTGCAACAGAGGCCTGGGTGTGAGCATGAGCAAACCTCAGAAGTAATCATGTTGATCATGAGAGTGACAGGGGATAGTAATGTTTGGGAAGATGCTTTATAAACTGTAAGGTGC